TAATAAAGAATAATCGTAACATATAAAACTGCTAAAATCATGATTAAACCAGCAAATCATTCAAACTAAAAATGGTTTAGCTTAATCAGTTAAGTCAAAAAACCAACCAGCTTATACAAAAATTAATTAATTAAAATTTTTAAATTTTATTTTATTAAGATTTAAGTTGTCACTAAATATGAAAAGCAATCTATTAATTTAAGTTTAAAATTGGCATAATATAAATTTAAAATTATAATAATCCATCCCATAATTTATAAGCTTTAAATAAAAATTTAAAATTACCATAATTATCTCATAATTTTTGTATTAAGGAGCAGTAAAAGTGACATTGAGATTATCAATATATCTATATATTTTACAAAATAATACTTTTAAGAAGAGATATTATGAGAGTTTCAAAATCTCATACAAAATTATTTTTAAAATCAAAACCTCTACATCAAATTGTAAAATAAAATTTAAATAGAAGCAAATCAATCGAGATTTTCTTAATTGTTTAAAATTAAGAAAATCAAAAAAAATAGTATGAGATATTGATCATTAGACTTCTCACCAAAAATCTCATTTTGTTTATATAAATTGGAGCATAAGATTCACTTTATGTAAGTGAAGCAATTGACTTTTTTGTTCTTTTCTCGTTGTGAGATTGTAAAATAAAAATAAAATAGAAGTTAGCCAATAAAAATTTTCTTAATTGTTTAAAATTAAGAAAATTCAATAATTTATATAAATTGAAGCATAAGATTCATTTTATGTAAGTGAAACAATTCATTTTTTGCTTCTTTTTTCGATATGGGATTGTAAGATAAAAATTAAATAGAAGCTAACCAATGGAGATTTTCTTAATTGTTTAAAATTAAGAAAAATTTATAATTTTATAATGAAGGTTTGGAATTCCTAGAAATTTTCTCTCTAAAAACCTTATTTTCGTTATATAATATAAGTGAAATAACTCATTTTTTCCTTCTTGTCCTGATGTGGGATTGTGTAAAATAAAGGCTAACAATTGTTTAGGCGGGAAATTTATTTCGAATCAAGCAATCTCTGCCGTTTAATCTTTAATTAGGTTAATCTTTAATTTATTTCGAATCAAACATATCTAACCAATATATTTTGATAAAACCACTAAAATCGCCGTTAAACCAGCGAATCAGTCAATCCAAAAACGGTTCACCCTATCAGTTAGGTCAAAGGTCCAATCAACTTATACAAAAATTAATTAATTACAACTTTAAAATTTTATTTTAATTTTAAAATTTAAATTATCTTGAACTAAAACATACACAACACTACAATATTAAATGAAAGTATAGGATTTATATAGTGAAACAACTCATTTTTTTCCTCTTTTTCCTAATGTAAGATTGTAAATAAATAGTTAACAGTTGTTTGGACAAAAAGTTCATTTATATTCAAGCAATCTCAGTCGTTCAATTTTTAATAAGGTCAATCTTAATTTATTTCAAATCAAATAAATATAGGTAATATATTTTAATAAAACAGCTAAAACTAGAGTCAAACCAATGAATCAGTGAAACCAAAAACGGTTCAGTCTAATTGGCTAAGTTAAAAGACCAACCAATTTAAAATAAAATTAATTGATTAAAACTTTTAAATTTTATTTTAAAATTTAAATCATCTTGAAATAAAATATGCACAATACTACAATATTAAATAGGAGTATAAAGTGCACTTTATATAAGTGAAACAACTCACTTTTTTTTTTTCCTCGATGTGAGATTGTAATTATTTTAAAGTTAAATATTATGAGAGTTTCAAAATCTCATACAAAATTATTTTTAAAATCAAAACTTCTATGTAAGATTGTAAAATAAAAGTTAAATGTAAACTAGCCAATCGGGATTTTCTAAATTATTTAAAATTAAGAAAATCAAACAAAAAATTGGTATAAATATTGATTATAAGATTTCTTACTAAAAATCTTATTTTGCTTATATAAATGGGAGCATAAGATTCACTTTATATAAGTGAAACAATTCATTTTTTTCCTTATTTTCCCAGTGTGAGATTGTAAAATAAAAATTAAATGGAAGCTAATCAATGAGAAATTTCTTAATTGTTTAAAATCAAGAAAATTTAATAATTTATATAAATGAGAGTATAAGATTCACTTTATATAAGTGAAACAATTCACTTTTTTCTTTTTTTCCCAATGTGGGATTGTAAAATAAAAGGTAAATGGAAGCTGGCCAATGAGAATTTTCTTAATTATTTAAAATTAAGAAAATTTAATAATTTTAGAATGAAAGTTTGGAACTAGTAAAAGGCTTCTTCCTCAAAACCCCCTTTATAAGATTCACTATATATAAGTGAAACAATTTACTTTTTATTTCTTTTCCTGATGTGGGATTGTAAAATAAAAATTAACAATTGTTTGGGCGAGAAGTTTATTTCTAATCAAGTAATCTCAGTTCTTTAGTTTTATTTTGAATAAAATAAATCTAACTAATATATTTTGGTAAAATTGCTAAAATTTCGGTTAAACCAGCAAATCATTCAAATAAAAAACAATTTAGGTTAATCAGTTAGGTCAAAAGAACAATCGACTTACACAAAAATTAATTAATTAAAACTTTTAAATTTTATTTTATTAAAATTTAAACTGTTACTAAATATGGAAAGTAATCTATTAATTTAAAGGGTAAATTACATTTTGCCCTCTTAAAGTTTCACCAATTTCTCACTTTGGCCCTTTAAGTTTGATTTTTCCCACTTTGGCCCTTCATATTTGCTATTATTTCCACTTTGGCCCTTCATATTTGCAATCCTTCCTACTTTGGCCCTTCATGTTTGCAATCTTTCCCACTTTATTCCTAGACTAATTTTCATCCAAAAAACTAACAGAATCTACCACATCATTAACATTTCAACTCCATGTGTGATGTAAAAAATTCACTAAAGATGCAAAAAATAGAAAACAAAAAAACTGGAATTTTTTTTTTAGTCTTTAGTGAACCATTTTTTTCAAATTTATTCATAAATATTATTACATTATAGATGCATTTACATTAGATGCACCTAAAATAATAAAAATAAATTGAATTAAAAAAATTAAAAAGTTTACTAAAAACAGAAAAAAATGAAAATATATTGAGTCAAACATATGTATTGTCAATTCTGAAATGAAAAGTTTACTATTTTTTTTTTTTTTTTTTCTTTAGTGAATTTTTTTTCTTTTTTTAATTAAATTTGTTTTTATTTTTTAGGTGCATCTGAGCTAGATGCATCTATAATGTAATAATGTTTATGAATAAATTTGAAAAAAAATTCACTGAAGACTAAAAAAAATTTCAATTTTTTATTTTTTGCATCTTTAGTGAATTTTTTACCTCACACATGGAACTGATGTGTGGATGATGTGGCAAATTTTGTTAATTTTTTGGATGAAAGTTAGTCTAGGAGTAAAGTGAGAAGGGTTGAAAATATGAAGGGCCAAAGTAAGAAAAATTAAACTTAAAGGGTCAAAGTGGGAATGATTGCAAATATGAAGGACCAAAGTGGAAAAAATCAAACTTAAAGGGCCAAAGTGGGAAATGGGTAAAACTTTAGGGAGGCAAAGTGTAATTTACCCTAATTTAAATTTAAAATTGACACAATATAAATTTAAAATTAAAATAATCTATCACATGATTTATAAGTTTTAAATACAAATTTAAAACTATCATAATTATCTTGTATTAAGGAGCAGTAAGAATGATGTCAAGATTATCAATATATCAGATATATCTATATATTTTACAAAAGAATACTTTTAAGGAGAGATATTATGAGAGTTTCAAAACCTTATACAAAATAATTTTTAAAATCAAAATCTCTATGTGAGATCGTAAAATAAAAGTTAAATAGAAGTTAGTCAATGCGGATTTTCTTAATTGTTTGAAATTAAAAAAATCAAAAAAATTAGTTTGACATATTGATCATAAGACTTCTCACTCTCCTTTTGCTTATATAAATAGGAGTATAAGATTCACTTTATGTCAATGAAACAATCACTTTTTTCTTTTTCTTTTCCCGATGTGAGATTGTAAAATAAAAAGTAAATGGAAACTAACTAATGAAAATTTTCTTATTGTTTAAAATTAAAAAAAAGTAATAATTTTAAAATGAGAATTTGAAACTCCTAAAAAATTTCATCCCAAATTTCATTTCCCTTATATAACATATAGATAGATAGCTAGATAGATTGGCATCATGTACTTCTATTTCCTTACCCCCAAAATGCCTTATTCATACCATTTAATGCATTTCTTTAAATATGAGTTTACCCCTTAATCAAATTACTCTAAAATGCAATTTGCAGTACATAACTCCATACACTACCAGCCACCGCTACTATCGTCCTTCCTTACCACTATCACCAACTGTCACCACCACATCAAAACCCACCCCCCCTTCCCCCCGCAAAAAAAAAAACCTTCCTCAACCATCCAATCTCTCTCCTACACTGGACAACCACACAACTCCACCACCCATCATCCCCCAAGTGAGAGAGAAAAAGAGAAGTTTTTTTAGCAAATTGTGACCAACAATTTAATACTCCAAGCCGGTGCAATTCCGGCTTTAGGGTGCATCATGATAATTTAAATCATTCATTTCATAAGTGTTGATAGTAGATCATTTATTATTTTTTTTCAAGAAAGATTTAATTTGTATATTATGATTTATTTTTAAAATTTTATTTTTTGTTGTAATCTTGTTGTGCTAAAAGGTTAAAACGGTAACGAAATAACAACAATTATTTTTACCTTTATAATACTTTTTTTTAAAAAAAAAAAAAAATACTTGCCCCGAAAAGAACTTCAAAATATTATCAAAAGAATCAATTTTTTTCAAATCAAAAAAAAAAAAAAAAAGCCATCAAAATCAGTTTTTAGTATCCATCTCAGATAAAAAAAAAAAAAAAAAAAAAAAAAAAAAAAATTGGGAAGAAGAAGAAGATGAAGAAGAAGAAGAAGAAGAAGAAGAAGAAGAAGAAATGGGTTTGAAATCAAGGCCAGACCATACAGAGGGTTTTATTAAAACGTTTACATTCTATATATGTACTGATTACAATACCAAAATCAACACAAGCCATATTCAAACTTAAGTGTAAAGCATTGTAGTAAACCTTTGCCTAGAACATGCATATTGACCTATCACTTGGTTTTCCATGACACAGTACTACACCAAAAAACAAAAAAATAAAAATAAAAATAAACAACTAGCTGAACAATCAACTTCAAAGAGGACATTCCCATCCATTAGTGCAAAATGCCTCAGCAATATTACCACTGCCCTATTTTCGCCATCATCATGGAAGATCAGAGATAAACCAGTGCCCCAACAAAGATTCATTCAATTGTTTACCGACTTTTCAAAACTAGAATTTGACCGCATACTGTACTCTGCAACAAGCTTTGCGAATGAGGATGACTTGTTTTCAAGTAACTTTCTTGGAGAATCATATTCCTCAATAAGTCCTGCACCAGAAAATAAAATTTTAAAATAAAAATAAAAGTAGAGTAAATGTTAAAAAGATTTCACAGTGAAGATAGAAAAATCACTGAACATAACAAAGTGATACAAACCATTATCTAACAATAGAACCATGTCACTATCAACCACAGATGTAATCCTATGTGCAATGGTTAACACTGTGCAGCCAGAGAAGTGTTTCTGAAGTGTTTGCTGTATAATGTTATCTGTTGCTGTATCAACTGATGCGGTAGCTTCATCGAGCACCAGAACCTTGCTTCTCTTGAGTAGCACTCGTCCTAGACAAACCAGCTGCCTCTGACCCATGCTCCAATTCTCCCCATTCTCTGTAACTGCAAAAAACAAAAAAACAAAAAAATAGCACACTTTAGAGCTAAGTAAAATGCCAGTCATATGAAAAGAGTTATTTTTGCAACTGTGTTGGATTAGTGGATGAAGAAACCTGTTGAATCAAGCTTTCCTTCCTTCTTCCTCACTTCTTCTCCGAGTTGGCACTTATCAAGAGCCTAAAAAGCAATGAAATAGATATTTGCAATGAAAATTGTTATGAAAATGAGAAAAGCTAAAACAAAACAAACACACAAAAAATTGCGTGATTCACCTAAAAGTCTACATCCCCACAGACAAGAACGACAAAAGAGTTTCATTATGAACATAGAGATTATAATGAGTCGACTTTCTCTCGACTTTCTCTCCCAATTTCTAGAACCTCGAAATAACCCAATATACAAGGATCTAGAAGTAGCAAATTGGGTTCAAATATCCTTCCCTTTTGCGCTGGTTGTAGGCAAGCAAGGATTCAAAATCCTGGTTCTTAGCCACATAAATACTGGGTCAAAACTATCATATGGGTTACCAGCGGGGTAATAAGCATAATCCGAATTAAATTTGAGACACCAACAAAAAAGTCCAAACAAGAACGTATATATTGTTGCATTTATAATATGTAAAAACAAAACTGGAGAGACAGGAAACCAACCCACCTCCCAAATCTGTTCGCCACTGTACTCTTCAAGCGGGTCCAGGTTACTTCGCACCGTGCCCTCAAACATGGTTGGGTCCTGAGGAATGATGCTTAGTCTAGATCGCAAATCATGCAGTCCAATTGAGGAAATGTCAATACCATCTATCAGAATTTGACCAGCAGTTGGGTCAACAATGCGGAAAAGCGTCTGTATGAGAGTTGATTTACCACTGCCTGTCCTCCCTACAATTCCAGTCTTCATTCCTCCATGGAAACTGCACGTAAGGCCTCGTAACACTAGCGGCATGTGAGGGGCATATTGGACCTACATACATGTCCAAGGCATTTGATATCAAAATAACTCCATATACATAAAAATCATTTGTCATTAATGAAAATGGATAAAAATATTAAAAACAAATAAAATAAAATAAAAAGTTGACCTTACCTGAAGGTCTTGGATGTCAACTTGTCCATGAAGTGGCCAGTGACTGTCTGGCCTATTTGTTTCTATCACAAGAGGAGGCTCACTTGGGATAGAAGTGTATTGAAATATCCTTTCAACCGATATAATGTTATTCTCCACTCTACAAAGATTCCATATAAACCGTGCTTGTGTAATGTTCAGAGTAAGACCGTATGTCACCGCTAACCCCGCAACACCTGCAAATTAAGAAAAGGAATTGAAAAAACAAGGTAGAAAAGAAGAATAGTCAATGAAGAAGACAAACAAGGACAACTTACTCGGATCAATTGTTCCAGGGGGAGCAAGGATCAAGAAAACCAAAGAGAAGGCAAATGTAATAGCAGACAACATATCCAAGCGGAAACACAGCCACTCCATTGCAGCAGAATTGTAAAACTTTGGCCGAGAATGCCCATCTATCAGTTTCACACTTGTCTCTATGAATCTCGATTCCTGATCAAAGCTCCTAATAGTTGCCGATCCTGAGATGGTTTCAGCAAAATGCTGTATCACTGGAGCTTTGCATACTCCAACCAATCGAGCTAGTTCTCGTGCAGAAGGAATGTAATGTTGCTACAATTAAGAAGGGTAAAAGAACTCTATCAATCAAGGTATTTGTATGGCTATAAAATTTAGAATAATATCATCAAATTATCAATCAAGGGAACGGTTGGGTAAAATGAAATCACAAAACTATCACAGATCTAGATATCTTCTCCGTTTGATGGAAAGGGCGCCAAAACTTGATATAAAAATAAAAATTAAAAAAACAATGAAAAATGAATAAAAGAAAACAATAAAGTTCAAATGGATTGAAAACGAAGGTAGACATGAATACTATAGGCTGAAATTTTAGAAGCACACCTACAAGTTGAAGAGACAATAGTCAATTTTGTTGACAATACTTCAATATCCAAATTGAACAAACTATGACAAATGACAAAATGAAGCCAAAAGTAGATTTTTTTTTAGTAAAATAGATCCCGATACAATTTAATTTTAAAGTGCAACACTGGTGAAGCAAGCACATTGTACAAGACCTCCCAGCCAAGTAAGGTCGCTTGATTTGTAAAAATACATATTACAATTAGTTGCTTTAAATTAAGGTTATTGAAAAAAGCTAATTTTCCCCTCAGTAAGGATATGCAACTCCAAGTGTCTGCTCTATTTGTACAATTTGATATTAATTTGTAAGATTTTACCTGCAACCAAACGCAAGTTGCAATGACAGGAATAAATACAATTAAGACCTGCCATGCAACTTGTGACATTACTGCAATAATTCCCAAGAGCTCTATCGTTGAGAAGGCAAAATTCCCAACTTGATTTGGAACGTTCACATCCAGTGCACTTTGGTCTGTAGATGCCTGCAATAGGAAACCAACTTGATCAACTAATTCTAAAGTCATCTAAACATATAAAATCAATGAATACCAACCACACCAAGTTGGATTAAAAGATGTGAAAGAACAACAACAGTTTCGCTTACCCTATTTAAGATTCGCCCACTTGGGGTGGCGTCAAAGAAAGACATGGAAGCACGGAAAATGCAGAAATGCATTCTATTGAAGAGTATCGTGGCACTCTCATACCAAGTCATTACAAGAAGCAAGGTTCTGGCAAGAACGCAGAAAGAACATCCAATTGCCAAAGCTACATAAACAGTTATGAGAGTAGAGCCTGAAACTGGAGGTGCCACGTCCTTTGACACCGGAGCTGCCCAAGCCATCCAATAATTGCTTCCTATTTGAAGTGACTGAAATATAACTTGTGCTAACAATATGAAGGGAACAAGAGCTCCTCCATATGCTGTCGTGATATATTTCCAGTAGACTGAAAGACCAACTCGACCTTTCTCTCTTTCTTCTTCTTGAACAAGCTGTTCTTTTTGCCTCACAATTTCATCTGCTTTATCATTTTGACTGTGTTCAGTTTCCTCTTTCTGGACAGGCTTCTGATTGTTCCCCATATCACTATCTTCCTCGCTTATAGTTAAATTTTCCGAGACTGACTTAGTTACTGTGGAATCAAGAGCTGATAAAGCTTCCTGATGTGCACCGACAAGCTCCATAAAGTCAGTCCCTGAATTGAGAATGTCGTTGTATTTCCCTGCTTGGGTAATCCTTCCATCTTTCATGACCTAATGACAAAAGTAGTTACTCTGTGAGTTGTGTCCATAAATTCAAAGTTACGGAAGAAACAAGACATGAATAGCGTACCAGGATGAGATCTGCAGCAGGTAAGAACTCTACTTGATGAGTCACATAAATCACTGTTTTCGAACCCAAAAGCCCCAGTAAACATTCCTGTGATACAATGATTGGAAGAATGCTTCAGCGATTAACTTAAACAATTATCTAAATTTCAAAAAAAAAAAAAGAAAGAAAAGAGCATACAATGTCACAAATCAGAGCACAATAAAATTAATATTTGCAAAGAAATACAATGACCTCAAACCATGTTTGCAATTTAGCATGACAAGAAGAATCCAGTCATATGCATATTGCAATGATTGTTACATACAGATTTTGCAGAATGTTAAATTCTTGCTAAATAGCGTTTGTCAAAATTTATTGAGGAAAAAAGAAGTAAAAAGAAACTGAAAAGTGCGAGAAAATTATGAGTAGTGAGGTAAAAAAATAGTCACCTTAAAGAGATGGCTTCCTGTATGAGCATCCACAGCACTAAATGGATCATCAAATAGATAAATATCAGCCTCTTGGTATAGAGCACGTGCAATCTGTATTCTCTGCTTCTGTCCCCCACTCAAGTTGATTCCCCTCTCACCTATGACTGTTTGATCACCAAATGACAGAATTTCCAAGTCCTTCTTCAAAGAACAAGCTTCAAGGACCACCTCATACCTTTCTCGGTCCATTTCTCTGCCAAACAGTATATTCTCTTCTATCTTTCCACTCTGTATCCACGGTGACTGAGCAACGTAGGCCTTTGTTCCACCAAGCTTGAGGGTCCCCGACATTTTGGGCACTTCTCCCAAAATACAAGAGAGCAAGCTCGACTTGCCGGAGCCAACGGTACCACAAACAGCAACCCTCATACCATGTGACACGTTGATATTTATATCTTTCAATGTTGGATTAGACGAAGCCATATCCCAAGAGAAATTACCCTCGACTATCTCAATTGCTGTTTCAGAACTACCTCTATCAAGCTTCTCTATAGCATCAGGCTGCAAGTCATCAAGACGAAGGAATGAGGCTATTCGGTCAAGGGAAACTTTAGTCTGATATACAAATGTGATTGTGTCGGGAAGGTCATAGATAGGCGCTTGAAGCATTCTAAATATTGCGAGTGCAGATAAGACCTTCCCCGATTCAAGTGGGATTGCCAGAAGCAAACAAGCACCAAAAGTTACTAAGGACACAAATGTAGGTGCAACCCAGAAGACAAAAGTGATTATAGCTATGGTGTACAAGGATTTTTTCAACCATCCCTCCTCAACTTTCCTAAGCTCCACAATTTTAGATAAAAACTTCATCTCCCAAGCCTGAAGCTTGAGAATCCTCATGTTCCTCAAGACTTCAGATGTTGCTTTCATCCTTTTATCTTTAGACTCCATTAACTTATCTTGAAACTTCTCTTGCAAACTACCAAGTGGAAGATTTGCCAACATCACTAATACAATAGCAACAAGTGCAGCAATAGAAGCAAACCCAAGATTTTTATATAAAATTGCCAAGCCCAAAATGATTTGCAGGATGACCATCCACGGATCATGGATGTACCAACCAAAATCACCGATCCTCTCAGCATCTACGGTCATCAAATTGATGACCTCCCCACTTGTGTGCACTTGCTTGGATTGGCACGAAACTGTCAAACCTTTATTGTAGATCATGGCAACCAGCACTGCCTTGGCCCTAATTCCAGCCTTCTGCAAAATTAAAAGACAGTGCCTCTGCGCCAAGCCCTCAACAAGCTTTCCAATAAGAAATGCAGAAACCAAAATGTAGCCTTCTTTTTTAGATTCTTGACGTTCACTAAGGTATTGAACAAAGTTGTCTATGAGGTATGGACCGACATAAGACGCCAATGTGTATACAAGCGCTAAAAGAGCAGTGATTAGAATATCCCTCCACGTGGTGAAAATTAACGCCATCACTAGCTTAATTGTGGTTATTTCGCTTCCATTTCCATCATTGGACTTTAGCTTATTTCTAAAAATTGGGAATGCCCCTTTGACACTGTCAACGCGATCGAGTTGAGGAACATCCTTGAGGTCTAAGGCCTTCTTATAACCAAAGGCAATCAAAGGACTCATCCAAGAGAAAGTAAGGATACTAAAAAAACTAGCATTAGAACAAGGGGCAATAGCTTCACCCCCACCAGACTTGTTCAACTCTGTACCATTACTTATACTAGTACTGCCATTCAAAAGGGGTTCTTGAAGAAGGGTATCTTCACCTTCCTTCTTCCCCAAAAACCCCACACAACAGAAGAACAAACCGGTAACCACCGAAACGACATCAGAAACCAAGAATTGAGTTGGTAGAGATTGGTGTTTGTTGTTAAAGAACAAAGAAATAACAAGGAAATAACAAGACATTGGAAAGTAAAAACCCCACCAAACCCTCAATGAAATTGGGAACTTTGGTTCACTTGAATTAGAGAAATGGGTGTGCAAATAAACAGAGATTGCTAACCAAGCAAGAGTTCTGAGTACTAAATCCAAAAAGGTTACAATCTTTTCATCAGACGAACCATTTCTATACCAATAAAAACAGTTCAATAAACAAAGAAGCAGATTAAAAAGTGAAAGACCCAGACAACACAATAGAGTTTGTTTGTAGCAAGAAATTCTAGTTTTGCTAGCACTCTGTTTTGAGACTTCACTATGACTAAATTTGAATTTCCTGATAACCCATGACAAAAACAGAACTAGCAACAAAATTAGATGCAATGAACCAGAAAACCCACGCAAATATATAGGTTGGAAAAGGAAATCAGTGGGTGCATAAATTAGTGAATATGGGTGAGAAAGGAAAGCCAACATGCCTGCCTTAGATGCTGCAAGAACTCCCATCTTTGTGGAGCGTTTGGCTTCTGAGAAAGATGGGTGTGTTGGAATTTAACTGGGTTCTGGAGAACAAAATCATACAGTCTGCTAGTGGGAAAATTATTTGATGGTGTTGTGAGTGTGTGATGTGTGTATACATATTATATAGAGACTTGTATGATAGAGATTGGCTGAGTTTTGAGAGACCACGATGATACAATAATACAGCACTACTAGATGTATCAAATTTATGTAGTCTGAATTTGTCTGGTTAAACAAATTTGATAGGCGAATTATTAATCATAAAAATAATATTACAAAATCACACAATACTATATGTGATTCTAATAATTGACCAAATCATTAGTAAAATTTAAATTTGACGCAAATTTTAATAAAAATTAGATTCAATCCTTTCATCAAATGAAGGATAAATTAAATATTTCATCACATTTTCAATAGTTATTTTTTTATTCAAATTTGATGAAATTATTGAAAGTAAAGAATTAAAGATGATTTTTTTTTTAATTCAATGAATTGGTTAAAATGAGATTTTTATAATATGTTACGTGGAGATATATTTTCTGAGTACCAACACGTGGCAAGGTGACGCCGACGTGTCAGCCGAAGTACCACGTGTCCTGGTCGTGACGTCGAGGTTATCTCGGCAAGGCCGAGGTTATCTTCGAAGATATCGGAATCCGAGATAAACGAATAAGGGACCAGAGTCCTAGAATGAAGAGAAGACTTAGTCAAGATGAGGATAAATCTCTTAGGGAGTTTATCTTTATCTCTTGAGGAGTCCAAAGTAAGTACTGAGTTAGAGTCCATAGAAGCCAGGCTTCTAGTGGGACTAGGATTAAGGTAACTATAAAAGAGAGGCACCCCCGTGGGTCTAAGGTACGCAAGTTTATGCTTTGAGTAGTAAGTTTAGCACTTGATTATCTTTGACAGATATACTGACTTGATCGTCGGAGTGCCCCCGGGTGGAAGAGCTACCGCCGGAGCCTTTTCTTTCTGTTGCAGGTTAACTGGAGCCATCTATTCTGCCAGTACTTTCCCTGCTGATTACTAGGCGGGCAGTGTGGTCAGAAAATTACCCACACAATTTGGCGCCGTTTGTGGGAACTTAGAAGAATAGATGGCCAATAACGGACAAAGGGAAAACGTTGGGGCGACACTCCTGCTGGAAGTGGCAGACCAATTGACCTTGACATTGAAAGAGACAACCACAATGCAGAAACTCATGACCAGGGCCACGGAGAGAAAGACGTCGGCCAGGAGGGTGACACTTCGAAGAGGACAGATCAAAGCAAGTACTAAAACAAAGATAACCTTCAAGTATGGAGGGATAGGTGCCTACGGAGGGATGAAGAAGTAAAAGAATTGGCAAACAAGTTGGCAAACCTACAGTCGGTCGTCAACTTCATGATGCAAAATAATGTCATGCAGCCACCATACCCGCTGCAGGATACGCCGATGCCAGCAACTAATACCCAGAAGGGAGGAGGAAGAACAATCCCTGAAGCCCCTCAGCACACCAGGAGCGGAAGGCACTCTCACCGAACTTCCAGGGAAGTCAGACGAGAGGAGCCGAGACGAGAGGAGAGGAGTCTCGAAGGACATATCACACGAAGGACCCAGAGCCCAAAGAACATCGGCATGTTCAAAGGCAGGCGCTCTACTTTGATACAACCCATGGAAAAAGATCAAAACGGGCTCACCACGAGGCCGAAAGTAGTGTGCCGAAAAGATTGAAGTCCAAAGATAGCCGAGCTCCAGGGAGAAGTAAAGAAGACTTGAGAGATTACCTCAAGAGGAAGCAACAGAATGCTGAAGCCGAAGTAACTTCCCCGGTTAAGCCGATGACACCATTCTTGGTGGAACTGGACAAATTTGAAGCACCAAAGAGATTCAGTATGCCGAGGTTCCAAATATATGATGGAAAGTCAGATCCCAACTTTCACGTTGGATTATACCTGAATTCAATGGCATTATACAGTGGGAACGAGTCATTGCTTTGCAAAGTATATTCCTCATCCTTCGGGGAAATTGCATTAGATTGGTTCAATAAACTACCGAAGGGAAGCGTAAAGACTTGGGAAGGCCTGGCCGAGATGTTTGTGGCCAGGTTTGAAACGAACAAACTACAGCTCTTGAGGGTCGACGCACTGATGGCTTTAAAAATCACCAAGGATGAAGGCTTTAGGGCCTACGCAAAAAGGTACTACAAGGTGTTCAATCGAATACCCGAATGCAACCAAGAGGTGGCAGTCGTGTGTTTCAAGAACGGCCTGAAAGATGACTGTCCACTACGGAAGTCTTTGGCAAAGACATTACCAAAAAGCATGGAAGAACTCATGGCGAGAATCGAGAAGTACGCCAGAGCCGAGGAGGATACGTCGAGAAACAAAGAGACAAAGCACGAGAAAAGAAACGGCTCGCCGAAGCGAAGCCGAGGTAACAATGGACCGATCAAATAAGAAATAGAATTAAGGGCTAAACAGGCAGTAACGACTATATTCCGAGTCCCGATCCACAAAGTCCTGGATCAAATACGAAACTAACCCTATTTCAAAGGACCGACAAGAACACCAGGGGAATTTATGGGAAGAAACGTGGGTAGGCGTTGTGCTTACCACAATGAAGAAGGGCACCCAACTCAGGGTTGTAGAGCCCTAAAAGCACACTTAGAAGACTTGGTAAGGCAAGGCCATCTGAGGGACCTTGTTGATGAGGCCAGGACTAGAGAAGAACATGCAAGATTGCCTCAAGCACCAGCAGCTCCGCCTCCCCCAGCTCAGCAACCACAGGTAGGAGGACCACGGGTGGTTAATGTAATTCACTCAAAAGTAAACGAAAACGACATACGAGGGGAGACTCAGAGGGTAAAACACCTACAACACGTAAACCAGGTCGGACACAAAAGACCTCGGCCTGAAGAATGTCAGGGACCGACGATAGGTTTTACTGAAGCCGACCTAGAGATGGTCCAGCATCCACATAATGATGCCTTGGTAGTATCCCTCCAGGTTGGGGAGTGCCAAGTGAAACGCATCTTGATTGATCAAGGCAGCTCTTGCGACATCATGTATGTTAGATGTTACAAGGAACTAGGCCTTCATCCTGATGACTTGGAGCAATCCAACGGCCCGATGGTCGGCTTCAATGGAACGCCGACGTGGCCACTGGGCGCAACAAGCTTGGAAGAACAAGCTGGCACTAAAAAGATCAAGACAGAATTCGTGGTAATTGACACGCTTTCGCCATACAACATCATCTTGGGAAGGCCATGGTTGCATGCAATGGGGACAGTTCCCTCAACATTGCATCAACTACTGCGATTCCAAACAGAGCATGGGATAGAAGAAGTTAGAGGTGATCAACTGTAGGCAAAGAATTGCTCCATGGCAGCAATGAAATCCACCTGCAACATTCGAGAGCCAGAGAAGGCAGAAATTGAAGATGAGGACGTGGAAGTCCTAGAAGACATCGGCAAAAAACCAGCAGAGAAAAGCGAAGAGGGGCTAAAGAAGATCCTCGTCCAGGATGGAGATAAAGAACGCTTTTTTCTTCTCGGCTCGGCCTTAGCCGAAGAAGAGGAAAAAGAGTTGGAAACATTTTTGAGAGCAAATATGGAGGTGTTCGCTTGGACACCTTACGAAATGCCTGGCATTGACCCCGAGGTCACTTGCCACGAACTAAATGTTGACAGGTCGGCCAAACCTGTAATTCAGCGAGCCAGAAGAGCAACGCTGATACACGTCAAGGCAGTAGAAGAAGAAGTAGACAGACTTCTGGAGGCCAGGGCCATTAGAGAAGTACACTACCCAATGTGGCTATCCAACACAGTGGTGGTAAAAAAGAAGAATGGTAAGTGGAGGGTCTGTGTAGACTTCACCAGCCTCAACAAAGCCTGCCCCAAAGACAGCTTCCCTCTACCCAAGATTGACCAGCTAGTAGATGCAACTTCAGGGCATGAAAGAATGAGCTTTCTAGACGCCTATAGGGGGTACCACCAGATCACCATGTACCCCCCAGACGAAGAAAAGACAGCGTTCATCACCCCAAAGGCCTGTACTGTTACAGAGTAATGCTTTTCTGGTTGAAAAACACAGGAGCAACTTACCAAAGGCTGGTAACAAAAATGTTCAAACACCTGATTGGCCGCACAGTAGAAGTCTACATCGATGATATGGTCGTAAAGACCAAGGAACCTAAGGGTCATCTTGCCGACCTAAAAGAAGTCTTTGATATACTCAAAACATACCGGCTACGACTCAACGCATCGAAGTGCGCGTTTGGAGTTGGATCAGGTAAGTTTTTGGGGTACCTGGTAATAAGAAAGGGCATCGAGGCCAGCCCAGATTAGATCAAGGCCATCTTAGAGTTGAAGAGCCCAACGTCGGCAAAACAGGTGCAGATGCTAACTGGAAGGGCCGCAGCCCTAAACAGATTTATCAGCAGAAGCTTAGACAAATGTAAACCCTTCTTCAACCTGGTAAAGAAGGCCACGGACTTCCTATGGACTGAGGAATGTGAGGCCGCTTTGGCCGACCTAAAAAAGTATCTGACCACGGCTCCAGTCCTCTCAACACCTGAACCTGGAGAAGAACTGTTTTTGTATTTGGCAGTTTCAGAACATGCAGTAAGTGTAGTGTTAATCTGAGAGGAAAAAGGAGAGCAAAAGGTTGTTTATTATGTAAGCAAAACCCTAGCCGATGCAGAAACAAGGTACCTACAACTAGAGAAATTAATGCTGGCCTTAATAATGGCTTCAAAGAAGTTGAACCATTACTTTCAAGCGCACAAGATTATAGTGCCAACAGAGCACCCGCTGAAGTCTTTGTTACAACAAGGAGACTTAATTGGAAGAATAGCAAGATGGGCAGTGGCCTTAGGCCAGTATGACCTGGAGTTCAGACCGAGAACAGCAATTAAGGCCAAGTTTGGGTACTTTCAAAAAAGCTAAAAAGTCAAAAAGTTACTCAAAAAGTTAAAAAGTTAACACTATTCACCAAAAGTCAACAATTACGGCTGCACAACTCCCAATCCTAATTTTCCCCTACAAACCAATTTTTACAATTTTTTAATTTTTTATAATTTTTTATTACACATTTTTTCATAAAAAGTCAAAAAGTTAACCCAAACATCCATATTTTCAACCTCAATTTTTTAGTCCAAAAAGACAAAAAGT